AGACAAGAGCAACATAATTAAAAATTAAATTATCCATGATTGTACAAAAATCAAAATAGTAAAATACCTATGACCTCAGATTTGAACATGAACTGCTAGTCTACAATCTCTTTCCCCTTCCCAGATCTTGAAAACTAGAAGTAAAATCACACGGAGCTACAACAGCTTAGTAAGCCACACAAACCAATCTAAAATTTTAAATATTCTTTTATTAAGTATTTTGTTAAATATTTAAAAATAGTTAATTACAGTTTAAATAAATCTCTAAATTGAGAACCACAAAATTAGAAAATGTAATAAATGCATAGCAGTTATTTAATGATTCAATTAACAGTACAGAATAAATAAATAAATTGAAATTCATATCACAGAATAGTTTAGATCATATTTTTCGGACCCAGATATAATCTCAAAGGATTTTGGCCTCTTATGACTCTCTTTTTATTTGTGCTTATAGTGTCAGAACATATCAGATATCTCTGTTGCTGATAGAATCTCAAAGGATTATGGTCCCTTATAACTCCTAAAAATTTCCTAGCACAAACATAAGTTCAGATGATTCTGGCCCCTTATGGCTCCCAATAGATATAATTTAATCACATATGTACATATATCATCACATTATAATAATTAAAGAGTAACTGAGCATGTATCAAAATGTCACAATATTGTATAATTGTAGACAACAGAAAATCCAACTAAGCAAAAATACACATTTTTAAAAAATTATCAAATTATCAGGGATTGTGTAAAACAATATTTTAAAACTTTTATTATACTACATCACTATTTTTCAACGTCCTGATAATTTTTTATTCAATAAAAACCCCACATATTTTAAAAAACCCGGTAAAAATTTTCTAAAAATATTCAAAATATGCATAATCATAATCTCTACAATATATAAAAAGTTACGCGGTGAAAGTTTTACTGGTGCCAACATATATAAAATTTTAATCAAAATATTTGCTAAAACTTGTACATTTTTGAAAATTGAGATGGGCATAATGTGTCTTACCTCTAGACGAACAACTTTTCCAACTGTGTTGACAGATGAAAATGGCCCGAAGTCGCCCAAAATCTGAATTTCCTCCTTTCTCTCACCTCATTTCTCTTAATTTCCCTAAGCCTACTCTCTGTTAGCCGATTCTTTGTTTTGGGGATAAAATGAAATGATAAGGTTTTATTATAAGATAATTAGTGGATTAGGATTTTCTAGTAATTTTTTATAATTATTTAATATTAAAATATTAATTTAATGTAAAATATTTTATATCTTTAAATCCAAAAATTACAAAAAAAAAATTTATAATTTATCAAATTTTATTTAGAAAATTTAGGTAAAATCAATTTGGAAAACAGATGCCTAACGGTCCCCAAAACCCCATTTATAACCTACATGTGTCGATTTCTTAAGAAATTTTGACGGTGCCAAAAAATGATAAAAAAATTAGAGAAGCTAAAACACAATATTATAAATATTCTGGCAAAGATGGTTTGTGATTTGGACTTCTCTAGGTCAACCAAAAAAATTATTAAAAATTTAAAGGGTTTCACAGTATATTACAACGAAACTCCTTTAAACCTCCTCCCATTCCTTTTCCCCTTTCATTTCTTTGCTTATAACCATTATAGAACTCACAATTACTAACTAAATCAATATTAAACAAATATTCATTTTAAATTACATTAATTACCTAGATTCTAAAATAACGGGTGTTACATCAATGAAGGTTAACATCATAAATATCATATCATGTTTATGTTTATCAATATTTATGGCTATGCATGTCATATTATGATAGTATCATTGTATCATGTATCAGTTATATTTATAGCATACATCAATATCATATATCATATGTATCATGTATCTATACCAATATCAATGTCATTGTACATCATGCTCATAAACCATATAGCTTAGCTTGTTCATGTTATATCTAATCATGTGGAATTATGCCATGTATGCATATAATATCATATTCATATTAATGCAAATCAGGATATCTGACTAATCATATGATACTTTCATGTATATTGTCATCTCTTATCATATCAAGGTATAATCATTATCAAGCGACTTCTTATAAGAGTCATCTCTCATATATGCCACCATATCATGTCTACATATGACTCCCATCTTGTGTCTTTTATTTTGTATTAAGATTACACCACAAACTCATTATTTAAAGCAAAATCATCATTTATGCAATTTTTTTTTTCAATTTAGTCGATTTGGTTTACAAACTAATCAAATTCATTAGTCTTAATTGTAAAATTCAAAATTTTGAACTAATCAAACTATTTCCTAAACATAATATTATTTTGGACAAATTAGTTTAATTTTGGATAAACCAAAATACTATTAATCTTAATAATAAACCTAATTACCATTAGATTTGATACATCACCAAAAATCACCTTGATCAACCAAGAATGTCTATGAATATTTGAATTGAAAACTTTCAAATTAAATGCAGTACCATCGAAACACCGATTTCAATAAATTTGTAGTCAAATTGAACATCCGACAAGATGGACCCAATAATTTCAGAAGTGGTCGAATCCTTATTTTAGAAATTAAACATCACAAAATTGAAATAAATTGCTTTTTTTATAATTCTTAAAATTATTTAAGAATTTTTTAAAATATATAAAATGTTAAACCCGGTCTAATTCAACCCATTTTTGGGGGTCCAAATAGGTTAAATCAAATAATTTTTGGTGTTTTTAAAATCATTTTTTGATCTTTTAAATTTAATTTTAGCATTTTTAGAGTTTAATGTAATCTTCATAATCAGATTCAAACAATTTTAAAAAGTTTAGGGCAAAATTTTTCAATATTTTTGTTCCAGTTGATGCATAAACTTAAAAAAGATGGCTAAATTTATAATATAAGGAAATTTATTTAGCTCACAACTGTAATATCTGTTATCCCCAAACTCTGGCAATTAAAATTTATTAAGTCAAATACTCATTAATATTTGATGTAATATGAAATTATAAAGTTTTAGAATGTCATGGGGCTTGTATAAACTAAGATTTGGATTGAGGAAGTGAAAACCCAAGGTGTGAAAAATGCTTTGTGGGAAAAAATATATTTTGGGCTTGCACTACGGGGTGCTGCAACAATCGGAATGTGAGCGTCCTGATGCTAGGTCAAAATAATGAAATTATTGTATTAAAATATCTCAAACCATTTGGCCATTTCCAATTCCCCAGTCACCTTATCAGAGAAAAGGGAAAGAAGAGAAAAGAGAGAGAGAGAGAGAGAGAGAGAGAGGATTTGGATACCAAAGCTCAAGTTTTGATTGTCAAACTAGTTAAGGGAATTATGTAGCACAAGGTAGACTTCTGAATCCTTGTCTCTGGTTTCAATTTCTCTTATTTTATAAAAAGTTATGGATTAAAATATATTTTTCTTGGGTTTATGAAGTTTTCACCGTGTAACTTTTTATATGTGATTGTATGCTCTGCTTTGAACGTTATGACTATAAGGAATTGAATTTTTATCTATTGATTTTTTCTAATTAAAATTTTGAGTATATATTCCAATTGAGGCTTTTCTGGTAATTACAATAGTTATGTAAAAATCTTAAAATGTTCATATGAATGCTTCTTTGAAATTAGAAATGAAATAGAAAAAAATTCAATGAGTATACTGGTATACATGAAATATGCATTATTTGGATATTGCATTATATTTCTCATTTAATTCCTATTGCATTGCATTTGTATTATACATAACATAGCATTGGAGTGAAAATAAAAAAAAAAGTATTATCTATTATGTGGTAAAGGCCTCAATATTTTATTCTGGCCCAATCCGCTCAAGACAAATGTGGGAGAAATTTTGGCCTCACTTACTGAAAGCAGGTGTGAGAGGTTATGTAACATTGTACATACTCTTCTAGCTCCATCTGTTTAGAGCAAATATGAGAGAGATTCTGACCCCACTCACTATATACGGGTATGAGAGGTAAAATGAAGACATAAGTGAAAGTGGATGTATAAGTAGACATCGGAACTTGTGCATAATAATCATTGCATTGATGTTAACAAAATAAGTAAAAGTAGCAATTTAAATCTCCTTATTTTATTAAAATTTCATTTTTATGCTGCAAATTTTTTTGAAGATAGAAAAGATTTTTATAAAACAGTTACTTAAACATCTAAAAATATGAGATAACTTAAAGTTGTTCTTTTAGGTTATTTTTGGAAGGCACAAACAATGATGCCTATAATAACCTAAAAGAATTACTTTAAATTAAAATTATTTATAAACCATTTATCTTCCCCCACTAATTTGTAAAAATTGGATAAAATAATAAATTTCAATTTCAAATCATTTATATTATTTTGGGTGGAGCCCAAGTACCCATGCAACTAGCTCCAATATAAATTAGAAAGAAAAAAAAAATTAAAAATTATATTGCTAAATGCTAGGGGTGTCAATATTTGACACGACACGAAAATCCGACTCGAACCTGATCCAAAAATTTCGGGTTTGACCCAACCCGATTTTAAAACGGGTCGGGTTCCAGAAATTGACCCGTTTGAAAAATGGGTCGGGTTCGGGGGGACCCGACGGGTTGCCGGGTCAACCCGCAAACCCATTTAAAAAACGACTACCCGCAATACCCAACCTGCCCGCAAAGTTGTCCCGCCTGCCTAGTGCCCGCACTCGCCCGGCCCGCGCTCACTCGAGCGCCCCCTCGCGCACATGCGCTCACCCGGGCGCCAAGCGCATCTGCGCGGCTACGCTCGCCCACACGCCCCATGCACCTGCGCTCGCCCAACGGGTCGGGATAGGGTCGACCCGATTGAACCCGTGTCAGTTTTAAATTTGATCCGAACCCAACCTGTGACCCAAAATTGACACCCCTACTAAATGCTAATGTGATAGCCCATTTTATAAAAAAATGTGCGAATTATTATTACACTCTTCGTAATTTTTGTTATTTATATTCACAACATCAGTATGCAGCTGCGACGCGGCGGGATAAGATGCGGTAAGGTGTCGTGCGAAGCAAAAACCGAAGAAGTTGTTCCTGCGAATTTGGCCTCATTCATTCGTAGAGAGCGAAACCGATAGCTTCTTGAGGTTTTTAATTTTTTATGCGCAGTTTTTCCGTTTCTCGGCGGAGAGTTTCTCAGCGTGGAAGGAGGTTCGGAAAGGCGGAACTGCTGCGGTAGAGGTGTTATCAGATCGATCTCCTTGCGTCAACTTCTCGGGGGTTTTTCTTCTCGCCGATCGAATCGCAATCGTCTCTCTGCTTTTTCACATTCGGATCGTCTCAAGCATGATTGGCGTCGACCCTGATGATCTTTTCATCTGATTCGTCGTTGTGGGCTTCCGAGGATTCAACCGTTCTCCGAATTCTTTAACCATGGGCGACCTTCAGCTTTGGCCGCAGCAGCTTGACGGCATCAGCGCGGCGGACGATGACCATAACCGTCCTTCGCCTCCGTCGCCGGCGGCTCCTTCTTCGACGCCGCGACCCCCGAATCCTCATCATTCGGCGATCAGCGCCGATGCATGGATGCAAGCGGAGCAGGCTACCCAGGAGGTTATACACCATATCCTGCCCACGGTGGTCTCCGAGCAAAGGAGAAAGGCTGTTGTGGATTACGTGCAGAAGTTGATGAAAGGTTTTCTGAATAGCGAGGTGATTAATTCGTAAAATCTTGGGCTTGCTTGCTTTGTTTTGGTATCTATTTCATGATCTCACGCTTTATTTTCTGTCGCTTTAGGGCTGCTAATGTTTTTTTCTTAAAAATTTTCTTTTCGTGTTATTTAGAGATTCGGCTTGACTATGTTTGAAACTGCTTGTTGTACAATTAGCTTATGTGGATGGTAATCCGTTGGTGCGTTGAATTTGTTGGTTTCCACACAAAGTGCACAGAACTAGGGCTTCTACGCTTGTTTTTGGGTCTTGGGTGCTTTCCATCTGGTTTAATTTGTTTCATGGGTGTTTTGCATCACTGGTTGTTCCAATAGTTTTGATATTTCGTTAAACCAGTGAGCATTATACTCTCTTTCGATTTGTAACCAACTTATGATCATTTTGTTATGCCCACTATGTTATCTAGGTGCAATATATTTTCTTTTTATTTCTCTTTCTTTCTGTGAAAAATAATGAATCTCCTAGCCAGACCTCTTCTATGTACCGTCAGATAGAATTGTTTGATTTATCGTTTCATGTGCTGCAAGTATTAAACTTACATCTCTTTTTTATTTGTTTGATGATATTCATGACTTTTTAAAGTGCACTTGCACAATGCACACATTGTGCATTTCAAAAACCTCGAGGGAAGCCCACAATGTAAACAGTTTGCCCATTGTAGAGTTAACGAATACAAATTTGTACCTTAGGCCGTCATATTCTGCTTTAAACAAACAACCACTCCGCACGTACTGTCACTGCTGCCCCTCCCCTCACTCCTAGACACAGATTCTTATTTAAGAAATTGTGGATGACACTTTCTGGCTTCAATCCCATTATGCAGGTAAGTGAGGGCTTCTCCTCATGGAGACCCATTTGTTTCCTTATGTTATAAATTGAAATGTCTGAAGTTTAAGCTTAAAGAAGCGCTCTGGAATTCTGTTGGATTTCTCTCTAATGCAATTGAGGACGCTTCTGCCGAACAAGATAAATTACATCACCTCGATGCCAACCCTACTGATTTCCATCTCAATGCTTATTGAAATAGCACAGTTAAAGACTCTTGAATTTGTCTAATTTCCATATCTCTTAGCTTTCTCAATGTGCAAAATCTAAATAGCTAAGTTTGGGGGATGATGATTTCAAATTTCTCTTTGCATGGATCAAATGTTGGAAGAATAAAAATTTCATTAAAGAGCTTGCAACTGCTGATGTTGTCCTCTCCTGTCACCATGATATTGCGATTGCTTCTGTCAATTGCTTCAAGGAGCTTTTCTCTTGCAGTTTTTAGGAGTGTCATCCTGCACCATCAATTCATTCTGGTAGCATGCTTCCTCCTCATCATTCTGCTCAGCTTATAGTTCTTGTCTCAAATGATGATATTAAAAATGTGATATTTTATGTTCTCATGATCTCTACTCCTAGTCCAAATGACTTAACCTTTGAGATCTTCTATAATTCCTGAAATCTTATAAGGTAAGAGGTTTGTGCTGCAATGAAGTTCTTTCTTTGCAAGAAGCTCCCAAATATGGTCAAGGCTATGACTATTGCACCAAGTCCCAAACCCTCATTTGTTGGGCTTATCTCTAATTACAACCCCATCTTTTTGGTGCAATACTCTTTACAATATCATTTCCAAATTCCTTTCCAATAGACTCATAAATGTGGTGCCACATATCATTCATCAAGTGCATGCTAAGTTTGTTTCCAATAGGAACTCCTCTGATAATGTCATTCTTGCAAACAATATTCTTAATGGATTTAACTCTAGCTCATCTTCCAAGCTTTTGTATGCTAAGGATATATATAAAGCATTTGATTCAATTAATTGAAATTTCCTTATTAGCAGGATGCTAGGAACGATTCCCTCCTCTCTTCGCATCTTGGATTGAGGCTTGTACCACCAATGTATCCTCTTCAATATGTATTAATGGGTCACTTAAAGGTTTCTTTCCCTTAACTACCGACCTCAGATAGGGTTGTCCGTTGTCTTTGTATCTCCTATGCATTTTCATGGATAGGTTTTCTAACCTTTTGGAGCAAAGTATTCTTTGTGGTGATTTCTCTCCCCTTACTCTTTATGACAATATTAATTTTTCACATCTTCTCTTTGTTGATGATTTCATTACTTTGAGGGAAGCTTCTCAAGACAATATACACTGTCTCAAGATTATTCTGAACAATTTTTATCTTGCCTCCAACCTCAAGACTGATCTAACCAAAAGACCCATATACATTTCTAAGAGCACCCAACGTTTTCAAGCTTTAAGTGACATTCTTGATTTTTCTGCCTCTATTTCTCATATCACCTATCTTGGCCTTCCAAGGTCTTCTCACAACCCTCATTTGGTTGATTTCGAACCTCTTGTTGGTAAGTTTTCCTCGTTCTTGATGGTTGGAAGGCAAAAGGTTTGTTATTGGGTGGGAGGTCCAACTATTAAAGTTTTCTATATGGAAATGTCTTACTAGGCTTGATCTCTTTTCATACCTAAAGATTGCACCAATTTTTTTGTTTCATGGAATATCTCTGCCAAGGAGCTTCACATTGTATCTTAGGAGCTCATTTATAGGCCTCACATCAAGGGAGGCCTTGGTCTAATAATCATACTTGCTATCTCTATGCCTTGATTGATTTGGAGAGTTGGAAAAATTGATAATATTGTATCTTCTTTGTTTACTGGCAAAGGTGCGTCCATTTGGAAACGTTTAATATGAAAAACATTTTTTTCTAGAAAGCCTATTTTTAATTGCTAACTCTAGTAAATGCCACCTTTCCTGTCATATTGGGGTTGAGCTTCATTTTCGTTGCTTTGAGATTCTTGAATCAATGGTAAATCAGTAAATGCATCTCTGATTTGCTTGGGAATGCCTTTGTGTATGCTCTTCCCTTTTCTCCTTAATGCCTCTACTCTCTTATTGAAGGCCTTCCTCTATAGATTGCTTTTGGCACATTAAAGAGCCTATTTTAAAAGTGTGGGTTAATTCATATTCAATGGGGTTGGAGTCTATTTTGTTACGCTTCTTATGATAATCTCTTAGATGTGTCATGGTTCAATCTTATTTGGCATAAAAATTATGCACTGCATTTTCTATCTACTCTTTGCTTGCTATCACTGAGGTTTTAAGACTGCTATTGCCCTTGCTATTAGGCAATCTTCACCACGCTGGTCTTCCATCTTTGTTGGAATGAGTATGAAACACTTAGACACCTTTTTGCTCTTTTTGTAATGCTATTTTAAAAAGTTGGCTTCCTTGGACTTCTACCTTTCTCCTCAGCTCCTCTCTCCTTCAATTCTTGGGGCTTATTTCTTTAATTGACAGTCTCTAAAAGCTTTAAAAAAATTTACCTTCTTTTTTGTGCGCTTTATATCATATTTGGAGAGAAAGGAAAGACAAGAATTTGGAAGGAATCTTGCTAGCATATCTACAGTCTATATTAAACTAGCTCGTCAACCCGAGCAGAATAGTTGGAAGAGAAATCAAAATTGGGCGTACATTATGAATTACTTTTTTGGCTAATTGGGCTAAATTTTGCTATGCTTTATCTCCTTTTAGGGGTTCATTGTTATCATCTTAGTTATTTAATTTTGGTTTTGATGGTTAAACTTAGATGATTGGATCAGAGTAGTTGCAGTTATGGTTACATATGGCATATTTGGGCTGTTGGTGTCTCTTTTCCTCTTCGAGGTGCAATCATTCCAGAGTCTCTGTAAGTTTTGTTATAGGTCTTCTTTGATTCCTGATTATTGCCCTTGTTTGATATCCTCCACACCCACCCCCCAACACAGACACACAATAATAATAATAATAATAATAATAATAATAATAAAATAGAAGCTGCAAGGAAATTTTTGGATTGCATGTTGTTATGCTTGCAATGCCTTTTTAATATTTTAAGTTATGTATTTCATTAATTTCACTTGTAGGGAGAAATGATTTATTTATGCAGCAGCAGAATTAAGTACAAACTTTTTATGGGTTGAACAACTGGATTACTATGTTTCAGCAACCATTAAGAGAGAAAAATTATTGTATTTAAACAACATCATGTATGGTTTGCCCATCCTTTTAAATATTGAAGAGAACAAATCGCTCTGTAATGCTTGCTTTTGCCTCTTATGTTTAGAGGAATTTTGCAATCCAATAAGAGAATTTGTTTGGGCAGATTTGAATAATTGGAGTTTATGGTGACTTGAGAAACATCATTGACTGGCTTACAGACTGGTGGTGTCAATAACTGCACTGAATATGCTAACAACGGTCGAGAGAAAGTGATATACTAATAATCTGCAGAGAGAAGAGGTTTGAGCAGTTGTTTTGTATTTTAGAATTGAGACGTGATAAAGGAAGAAGAATGCCAGCCTTGAATTTTTCACTTTGACATCCTTATTTTATTTAGCTTATTAGTTATCTAGGTATCAAATTTAGACATTCGACTTCTTTCGAATGAAATAATTTGTCTAACATGTTGATATGGGGGGCATAATCAGTACGATGAAGATGGCCCCTTGACTGATTTATTACTGCGAAACATCTGCATAATTTATGCCAGTTGGAAACCACATTAAGGCCTTTTCCTTCTTTCCTTCTACATTTGCTACCTCCTCATTAATCCATGAGATCCTTATTGCCTACTCATCAAGTCACGGGCTTTTGTGATTATTTTGTAACTATTATTCTACCTGCTCATTAATTTGTGGATTATTGTAACTATTATTTCCTGATTTTATATATTTTCTTTTAGAAACTCTCATATGATTGTCTAAATGCTACATAAACATTGAAGGGGTTGTTTGATTTGATGAAAGTGAGTGTAAATTATTTGAAATGCATAGTTCTTAGAAATTTGGGTGTGTGGTGTAATAAAGAAGGAATGCATAGTAAAGTTTTGGTTAATTTCAAATTCACTCAGTTTTTTTTATGTATTATATACTCAACTATTTTAGCCGAATTTTAAATACACTTCAAGCCAACTCTTGCTACCACTGTCATTTGTCGGTTCC